GGAAGCTTGGCCAGGAGGAGAATGGGGGCCATGYCTTTTACCCACTCTGCCAATTTTTACCTAAAGATGAGTGCTCAAAACAATCCACTGCATTAAGATTATTGTAAGAAAAAGAGCTCTTGCTAAAAAGACAAGGATTTCAGTCTGTCCTTATTTCTGCAATCTCTACACAGCTAGCACCTATGAAAATTCCYAGACATTTGTCAAGCTTTGCATACAGTATGCCTCAGAAGAAACAGGATTTTCCCTATTTCACTTCTACCAGACACTTCAGTGTTTCTTCCTGAAAGGCTGGAGCCATGTTTGTGGTTGAAAGTGTTGTACTAGTGTTTATGAAGAATTCTCTAATTACTTCTCAAAAGTAGAAAAAATACTTTTTAAAAATAAGGATGCAACGTACATAGAATTTTARAACATGTAAAAATTCAACCTTGTTTAAAGAGGATGTATTTTCTTTAAAAACATACTTTGATTTCACAGTACTTGGAAAGCAATATTTTCAACTAGACTTTTGAGCAATTTGTAATTTCAAATACAGTTTTCCAGACTTAATCACCATTAAGTCACTAAATACATCAATTATCATTGACTGAGGAGGCTGATTTCACAATTAATAAATTTCAATGATTACCTCTCTCGTATGTTTTAAATTACTACACAGAATCCCTAGACTGGGAGGCAGATTTTCATCCTGATCATAAACCACAGCCAGAAAGAACATTCTCAACTCACGAATATATTTCTGTGGTATATCATAGCAATATACTTCTATAATTCGGTCTGCATTTTCAGCCAATCTAAATAAATAAATTTTCTTGTCTTTTTCTTCTAGAGAAAAAACATTAGATTAAGGAAAAGGAGTTTTTTTTCAAACTTGGACTAAAATTGTATTTTTGAGAAATACTTTTAAATAGGGGCTCTAAAACATGAGCACAACAGTCCCATATGTAAAGCACAGGTCAGACATCTAGACAAATTACTGCAAGTGAAGAACTCTGGATTAACTCCAAGTCCATTCTCATTTCTAGGCTCTAGTTTCCTGCTTGAATAGAAATAATGCTTTCCTTTTTCATGGGGTTAAACTGAAAAAAACCTATAAAAATGCCTGTAGAATAGATTGAGAAACTACATTACTGAAGGCTAAGCAAGCAGCTAGAATTGATACCCAGTGAGGTTTAAACATACCTTCATAATAGAAAAATGTTGGCAGTCATATTAAAAATTAAAATTGAGTATTTGGGAAGTAGCAGTAGATTCTTTTTGAGAGCTTTCTAATCACACAACAGACAAGCACCAAAGTTTAGAAGCTACCGAATTCCTTTTTCCACAAAAATAAAAATAAAATTTACACTACTTAATCTGCATATTCACTACTTACTTCTAAACTGGGATGTACCMCTTCCAATCTGTTCTTCTGACAGCTTCTGTTCTTCCTTCACTGAAGACCTTTACTGGCATGAGCCCACTCATCCAATTTAGCCCTGCTCTCACAAATAAAAGGTTTCTCCAGAACACAGCTCATTCTGAACTATGGTGAGTTCTGTCAGCAGCATGCACAAGAGAGTTCTTTGCTGCCAAGCCCATAAATTCAAGGAAGAAGGCCCCAGAGCTGCAGCACCTACCTCACCAGGAGGCAGGAAAGCAGCAGCTRATTCCCTTTATCCTTCTTGAATACAGAAGCTAAGTAGTCTTCAAAGCTACCTTATGCACACTTCATCTTCCCAACAGTACAAACCCTCAGCATACGCAAGAGTCAAGAAACAAGGCTTAATGGACATATTTGGCACAAGTAGGGTCCAGAAACCAGTACCAAGTGCCCAAACCAGGGTTGGATCAAGACATTTCAGATGAAGCATCTGAAGGAAGGAGAACGGCAGCTGTGGTTTCGTACCACCGTGATCCTTCATCCAATGCTGGCAGCACTCTGCGCTGCGGGAAACTCCAGCCCAGAGTACAGCAAGCACTTCTAAAACTTCTTCATCCTCTTCATCCTCTGTCTAGGCAGAGATGCTGCCTAGTGCATAGTGGGTGTACCTATCCACTCAGAACTGGCAGGGCTCCCTTCTGAAAGTAAAGCACCGGGACTCTCTCTGAGAAAGATCTAAACAATTTTTTTTCTTTGAAAAGARGAATATTGTTTACATGTAAAACATTTCCCAGTAAAGAATTTTAACTACCTGTTTAAAAGTCATGGAGACATCCTCCACTCTTGACAAAACTTTGCACCATGACTGAAAGGGATGCAAGGCCTACACACACTACCCAAGGAAGCTCAACTTCATAGTTTTGCCATTAGGGGAGTTCTCTGCAAGCTGGCAGAGCTGGATTTCAGACTAAGCCTATTTATGCRCTAATATGAAATAGCCATTTAATGAGAACAGAAACTAGAGTGGCAACAGTGATCTCAATCTCTTCTAACCACTAAGCTTCAGAGCTAAGTGAAGGTCCACTTGTTTCCTCTCTTTCATTCATGAACATGTCATTCATTCCTCTAAGGTCAYTCAGCTTCATCAGCTTAGCTGGCCTGGTATGTGGTGGTTAGACAAGGGAAGCAGAACACTCAAAATGTGCATCTCTTAACCCAAAGAGAGAATTCCAACTGGCTTTTCCACTTCTTGGAAGAGTAATTAAAATTACTCTGTAATTATGGTATAGTACAGGGATTATTTCACCCAAAAATAAAATAAAATAACACAGACAATATGTAAATGCAGACATGCATACCAGCTAGAGACTTGGCCAATTGGTTTTCAGGTACAATTAGGATTTTTAGATCGTGTTTTTGTGTCAATAGAAGCATATAGTTGTCATTTTCAGGTACATGCTATCCAAAACCCCCAAGTAAATAGTACTATGATTATTTTTCTCTCGACATGGATTAAATGCATTTCTTCAACTGTAAATTATAATTTACAAGTCCTTGTAAATGCATATTATATCTGTAAATATGCATTTTTCAGGTTCAACTGGTAAAAAGGATGCAAGCTTATGTCTGCTGCATATTAGGTCTTACACTGCCTGCGAACTTAAGTTCMAAAACATAACATCCCCACCACAACCCACAAATGTAAAATCAGGGAAGTTAAAAAGTAAAAATCTGGTACCCTTGCTGAAGCTACATCSTTTTAACGCACCATACTTCCTTTAACAACAACTCAAGAAAAATTATCTGGGCTTGCTACAATTTTCAGGATTTCAGCTGCATTTAGATTACTTTGTTAAATGTAACTCAGGATTACAATGTTGCTCATACATCTCACAAAATACCTAACCAAAAGCCTAAAGCTGAGGTCTTGCAGTAAAAGAGCCGGCAGATGAAAAATAAGAGCAGCATTTAGACCCACTCTTCAGCAGTGCTGAGTCAATGTAACTATGGAAGTACAAGTTGCTTTCTATTCTGCTACACCTATCTACAGCTCGTCAGCTGGGGTCTGAATGCAGATGCTCCAGCTTAAGGTACAAAGCGAGCTGCAAAAGCCACAGATATTAATTCAGAGGCTAAATGAATTTATAGTGGCGATTAAATATAAGAAAACCAAAAGCATTTATTAATGAATAAAGTCTACCTGAACTACTTAAAGAAAAAACGTCCTTCTCTAAGGTATGTGTGAACGATAAGGATGGAAGCATACTGAAAATGCATGTTTCATAATAAAATCAAACTAACTCCACTGCACTGGTCTTTAGAATCTTCACTGAAAAAGTTAGGACACACATTAAGAAACACCCACTATGAAAAAGTTGCAAGTCTTTAAAAATAGCAGCGCTTTGCCTCCTCCCTCCCCTTTCCCCTACTCACCCTCCTCCCCAATTTCAAAATACATCTTCCCCAGGCCTTGGTCTGGAATGGCAGTTTCTGTGAACAGACCATACCCGACCATATGATTAGCCATTATAATTATCGTCACCTTTTACGCTCTACTCTATATTAAGATGCAAATCCAACAGATGTGGTCCAACGAAGTTATTTACGAGGGTTTCCCTTTCAGATGTCCAAGCCACAGCTACAACCAGTTCTGTGATATAATTACAGACTCTCTCCACGGGCAGTAACAGACCTCTGTCTGCGACGATGTGGCCAGCGGCATTTTCTCATCTATGCTCTGGTTCAAACGGTTGCTATGATTTCAAATGGTGCATCTACCCTTATTTTAGTGCGACTGGCTRCATTTCAGCCGCCGACATCTGACTGATTGATGCACATCTAAACAACGCAGCGATTATAAAAACAAACTGGCAGTAGGCACCGGTGTTTCACCACCGTGGGCTCGCTCCTAAACAGAGCGGCTGGCAACGAGACCGTGGGAAATTTAAGAGAAACACCAGAATACATGAGGCCTAACACTCACAGGCGTCACTTCCACTGAGAAAAAGACTGGCGTCCTGCACTTTTAAGAGTGGGAAGTTCATGGAAATAGCTATGCAGGTATCTGAACAGGCAGATCTCTCGTCTGCCGCACGAAAGCATCCAGGTGCTTCCYCGGCACATCGGCCACAGCACGTCCACCAAGAAAGTGCACTCGAGGGCTGGCTGACTCGATACAGCGCTGGGGGAACTGCTTTTCCGCCCCCAAGATTCCAGCCTCCGGCCAGATTCTCCACCGTATTCCATACGGGAGCACCCCAAACTCCCCGCACACGCGAATGGGGAAGGGCGAGCGACGGAAACCACCGGAGCCCCCAGTCCCTGCCCCCGCTCCACCACCCCCGGCCGGCGCCCGCCCACGGGGAGCCCGGGGCTGCGGGCGCGGCACCGGAGGGGGCGGCGGGATGGGGGAAAATGTCCTGCCGCCCGGGAGAGGGGGGCGGGCGAGGGAAGGGAGCCGCGGGGCAGGCACCTGAGCGGGCGTGGGCAGCCCCCGGGCCGGAGACCCGGGCACCGGGGCGGGGGAGGAGGGCACGGAGGGGGGGCGGGAGGCCCGCAGGCCCCGGCGGGGCGGGCCGGGCCGCAGGTGGGCGTCGGGCGCGGCCGCCGGAGGAGCGGCCGCCGGGCAAGTCACCTCTTGACGCGGATGATCTGGTCGCGCATGGGTCGGATGTCCTGGAAGCTCTGCTGGTTGACCAGGCTGTAGACCAGGATGAAGCCCTGCCCGTTCTTGATGTAGAGGTCCCGCATGGAGGCGAACTGCTCAGTGCCCGCCGTGTCCAGGATCTCCAGGACGGAGGGGGAGGCGTCCACCTCGATCTCCTTGCGGTAGAAGTCCTCGATGGTGGGGTCGTACTTCTCGATGAAGGTGCCGGTCACGAACTGCACCGTGAGCGCCGACTTCCCCACCCCGCCCGAGCCCAGCACCACCACCTTGTACTCGCGCATCCTCCCGCCAGCGCGGACCGCCCGCCCGACCCGCACCTGCCGACGGCCCCTCCTCACCCCCCCGCCATCGGCCGCCCCGCCCTGTGCCCGCCGCCGCAGCCGCCTCCGCTCCGCTCCCCGCCCGGCGGATGCTCCCGGCCGCCGCGGCGGCTCCTGGGCGGCGCTGCCGGCGGCGGGGCCGCGCTCACGGGCTGCGGCGCGGCCGGGGTGGGGCGGCGGCCCCGCCTCCTCCTTCCCGTGTCGCCACGGCAACAGCCAACGGGGCGGGACGGGGGAAGAAAGAGCGGGGAGGAGGAGGAGGGCGGCGGGCACCGCCCCGTCACGTGGCGCGTCCCCCTCTTCCTGCCCCCGGGCGCGGCGGCCGCACGTGATGCCGGCGGGCGGTGGCGGCGCTGCGGCTGTCGCTGTCACCCGCGTCCCGTCCCGGGCCGCCGCTCGCCCTGGAGACGCGGCRTTCCCCGGTGCCGCTCCTCGGGCCGGCTCCGGCTCCGCCGCCGCTCCCGCCGGGAAGGGCCGGGCGGCGGTCACGCGCGGGGCGGGCCGAGCCAATGGGAGCGCGCCGGGGCTGCCGCGGTTCCGCTTCCCGGCCTGAGGGGGGAGGCGGCTCCGGCGCGGTAAGTTCGTGCCGCTTCCAACGCGGCCGCTCTGCCCAGGCCGGAGGTGCCCGCGGCCGCCGTGCGAATCCCGCTCGTGCCTGTAAAAGTCAGTGGGATTCATCAAATCCACAGCAGTGATCCTTGGATCCTTCTGGACGCRCTGCGGTCTGGGCTGTGCCTGCAAGGGGTGGTCAGGGGTGTTTGTTGCCAGTGGCTGTCTGCTTTCGCGTCCCCTGCTGACAGAGATAGAGGGACACGAAAAGCGGTGGTGCAGTTTGGGAAAGAAAAGTGTTTCATCGAAACAGTAAGGGAAATGAAGATGATTGATGATAAGGAACTCACAGTTCCTCGTAGGAACCGGTATCAYTCCGGAAAGATACTCACACTTACATGCTTGTCTTTCTGCTATAAGACAGACTCCTTAACACTCCGTTTTCTTTTTTTTTTCCCTCCAAACATAATTGGATGGAATTAATGGATACAGGGCATAAAGAATTGSTTTCCATTAGAGGGTTAAAGGTCTGCCAGAGCCCTTAGTTTGCTGTTCAGATGYTTTCTGAAAGCTGTCGGAAAAAGAGCCCACTCCTGGTGCAGCATTTCTTCTTGTTCTGTTCTTCCCACTACATTGTCACGTCTTCATCTGAAGTAAGGCCCAGGTTGTCGGCCTGCTTTCCAGACGAGTCCAGTTCTGCTTTATTGGCTTGTTCTCATGTATCCAAACCTAACAGTGGCAGATGTGTTAAGAGCTTCTTGGAGTACATTTGTCCCCTGTCCAAGTCTTTTGGTTAAATGCTTGCCATGTGCTGTATTTGCATGTTTCCAGTCTTTTGCTTGGGCGTTGTGTTTGGCTTTTCTTCTGTGTGGTTTTCTTGGGTTTTGTTTTG